AGCAGTGTACACAAATACATTCCCTATTGCATGAGCCCAGCTTCATGTGTAGCTTCCAATGCATGTGAGTAAGCTGGGTTTGCACACCTCCCTAAGACTGTACCTGTGTAACATCAAATGCCGGCATGAGCATTAGAAGTTGGATGCACATGGAAACTGGGCGTGCATGGATGTGGATTGGCAATTTTGAAAATATGGCCTCGTTGCACTGTGGGGGGTGTTTTGTTTAAGGAAGAATTGCATCTCCTAAAGCCTGTTAAAATGATTAATCTCTGGTGCCCCATTGACTGTATATTACAATGAAAAGGCCTCTTGCAGCTGATTATTTCATAAGGAAACATTGTGCATGCTCACAATACAAACAGCTAATGAAATAAAAGGACAACATGTAAAATAAAAAATGCACAATGAAATCTGTAACAAGTATGTCCATGCCATTAACTAGTGAATCCCACAGCAAGTGGATACAATTAGTGTTCAGATCTTCCAGCTCTGACTCAGGCAAAACTTCCGTGGAGGGCTTTTGAATGTCTGAGCTAGGTATCAAAAACCTTGTATTCCTTAAAAGCATGGGGGAAGAACCCCTACTTTAACAGGGAGGGGTTAAGTGAGACGGCCACAGATTGTCCTCCTCCTCAGCAGAGACCGTCAAAGCTCTCCAGGCCCTCCCCACGCACTCAGTGGCGATGAGAATGGTAGGACACAGAGAGGGCAGGATAGCTGGAGAGCCATTCTGCAACAGCTCCAGGCAGCTCCCCTGTAGCATGGGCCCCAAGCAGTGACCCGCCTCTGTCTTCCTCCCTAACCGCTGCGGGTTCTGTGCTGCGCTTCGGCCGGTAAGTGCAGCAAGGGTTTCGGTCCCAGCACGTGCAGCAGCAGGCTCCCGCGTCCCGAGAGGACTCGAGTCAGCCACCACCGGAAAGTCTTGGGCTGAGCAGACAGGTCCGTCCCGCGGTGTTTCAGCCTCGTCGCTCTGAAGATGCTGGGTGGGCGCTCAGTCACATCTGCCCACGCGTCGTCCTCTCCTCCCATCTATGCCCCACGTGCTGATCTCTGTCTGCCTGGCTGGATCGGCAGCTGAGCCAGCATCCTGCCGCCACCAGAATAGTGCACATCCTGGAACGTCCCCCCTTCCCCAGGGGTGGCGCGGTGGGCTCAGATCTAGACGGAGAGCTTTTAACGAGCTTTTAACGACTCAGAGGGGACAAAAATGTCTTAATTTATGATGCAGCATCTGGCATCTAATGAGCACCAGCTCCTCATTCTTGCTTCTTGTTGTCCAGCTGCTGCTGGGTTGTTTTTGTCCAGCCCAGTCCTATTAAGTGGCTTTCACTGCACAGCCCTACGTGGTAGCAGGGGGATGGAAACCTTTGGTGTCCCTTATTCCCAGCCAGTGAGCTTACTGGGGCCAGTTATAGCTGGGGTGCCCAGCACCAGGTCCTCCCTCCAGAGCTGGCCTTGTGCTAGGCTCTTTGATGAGACTGGATCATTGAGGGAAACTAAGCTATGGCACCTAACTGGATGCCTGGGGAAGAGCTGCCCATGCAAGAGAGACCGTGGTTAAGTGCCGCCCTTCCTGCAAAGACTCCGTGCGCACTCCCGTCATACAGTGCCGGCAGAGCTGCCTTTGGCCCTTGCTGGTTTCTGGCACCCCACGTGGCTGCGTGTAGTGGTTCTTGTACGGGCTAACTGCTGAAAAGCACCGACATTTTCCCATCCACTGACCCTCGTCCACGACCGCCGTCAAGCTGCTGTCGCATTGCTGAAGCCATCACTTGCGGGAGCTAAAAGTGAAATGAGGGGCTCGTGTTCCCTCCGTGTGGGGCGCTCTCTGTGCTGCCACGGGTGGCAAGGCTTCAGTCACAGTCTGGTTCCTGTAATTAGGCTGACGGAGTGAGGAGCTGGGATTGGTGTTCGGTTTTGTGGCACGCTGAGGTAGCTGCTCACGGTTCTCCAGGAGCTTTGATAGACAGCTGCCCGCTCCTGCAGACAGCAAAATACCTCCTCAACACGCAGTTTGTCTGCAATGGGCAACTGTGAAAGAATGATGCAAAGTGCCTCTGAACTGCCTTTTCTTTCAGCCCAGAGCGCTCGGCTCAGTGCAGCGACGGGCGCTGCACGCACGGCTGGTTATGAATGCGGGAGCTGCGTGGTTTGGCTTAGGCTGCGGGGCCTGCATTTCCCAAAGCGCCTTCGTCCGGGGCATGGGCGCGAGGGGGGGCTAGGGCTGCCTGACTTGAGACGCTTTGGAAGAACTAGATGACCCTGCGCTCCCAATCAGGCCTTTTTTAAAGCATCTTCAGCAGGACTTGACTGCAGCTCCAATGGGAAGCCAGGGAGCTCCTGGTGCTCTGTACCTCTGGAGAGCGGGCCCCAGATGTCAGCCAGGCTCCAAGCTGAAGCTGTGATAACGGGAGAACCACTTTTCTCCTTTCCCCTTCCCTCTATTCACCAAGTGACCCCTTCTTTTGGGTGCCCCAGCTTTGGGTACAGACCGTGGCTCTGGCTGGCGTTGAGGCTGATCAGCACCTTTGCAAAGCAGACATCGGCGGGGCTGGGCCGGGGGTAGGAGGGCTTGATTTGGGCTACCAAAACTAGCTGCCATTTTTGAAAATTGTCACCTAAGCGAATGCCTGTCTCCCCTTGTTGTGTCCCTCGCTCCCAGCCCTGGGGGTCACAAAGTGCTTCCCGCTCTATGGCGGAGCCGCTCTTTCTTTGTCCTGCAGCCCTTGGGTTCAACAGCAACGTCCCTCAGAACTCGAGCCCTCCACCCTGGGGCTGGAACCAGCACAGTGCATGGCCCTGCCTGGGTGCACCAGGGAGGGAAGGACAAGGCACCGGCTGCCTCAGCCTAGCCCCATGCCAGGGCTTTGTGCTAGGTGAGCTCTTGCAGGAGAGAGACTGCTAGCACCACGGCCAGTGCCTGCCTCTCCTCGGGGAGCAGAGCAGCCCAGGGGCTGGAGGGTGCTGCTGCTCTCCTATGGCACGCCCCAGAGCTCCGGGAGGTGTTGGCCTGCTGCGGGACTGTTAGTGCCTCTGGAGCCTTGCTGGGGCGGCGCTCCTCTGACCTTCCCCCAGTACGCTGCTGGGCCTTAACATGACAACAGAGCCCTACCATTCAATGGACACACGGAAACGGCAGCTCGCTTCAAGTGCTCCACCGCCTGGTTCTCCGGCAGGCCTGAAGCTAGACCACAGAAGGGATCAGCTGATGGCATCGCGAACCTGTATGTCCCCAAGCAGGAGCAGATTGTGCTGTTGGACTCGAATCCAAATATCCTGAGGTGGAGACAGGTGGTGGTCAGGGATGGGCCTATTGCTAACTGCATGCTCAATTTTAACATGCATATTTTGCACTGTGTGTTTTGTCAGATAAAGAAGACATCCATTCACAGATCAGGAACTGTACCATCTGACCTATGTAACTAACACGATGCAAACTGTGAATTTTACAATCCCATGCAACTTGAAATTTTTGCTCTTTGTGAACAATCAAGGTTTATACTTCCAATGTATTTCCTGTGGGTATTTCCACTAGTAAAACTCAAGCGCTTGAAAGGTCAAGGAAGCAAACATCAAAGGGCTGTGGACAAAGTCGGGTCAAAATTAGCTTCCAAATCTCACATGCATTCACAAATAGGAAGTTCCACTCAGACACAATGAATGGCTGTTTTTGACTTTCCAGTTTAAGGTCTCACTATCTAATCATCAGGCTGCTAGCTCAAAATGTTAATGCCGAGACAGCGACCGCAGGCTTGCACTTCCTCTCCACAATAGAGAATTTTGGATGCATTCATTATGCATGGAAGCAGAGGTCCTGGAGTCACTTTGGTTGGGGCTTTAAATAACTAATGGTTCCCCGAGGCAAAAGTTTGCTTTTATAATTGCTAATAAATTCCATCACTCAGTGATATTTACTAGCTATGAAAACAAACAACAGACCATTAGCTGGCATTTGACAGCATGGATTAAATCTGTGGTTTCACTGAAAAAATAACCAGAGAGGCTTTAAAGAACTCAGGACACTGGTGGGCTGGCCTGATACCTGTAAAAGACGTGTTCCCATCAAAGGTGCATCTAAGCAATGGCAGTGGATCATCCAGTGATGGACAACACCTCTCAGAGGTGCAAGTGCCATTCTGGGGCTCAGCCCCACAGACCCATCCTCTCCTGTGCTTATTTGCTGCAGAGCAGAAGGAAACAATCAAATATACAATGCTAGACAGACCTCCAAACCAGATTTCTCCCCTCTTTGTTTCTGAGCCTCTAGGAGAAATACGGTGGGTGCACCTGGGGAGCTAATGCCTGCTGTCACCCTGCTCCTTTTCCAGCCTCTCTCCTGCTTAGGCAAGGGGACTGCATGATGCCATGATCTCATTGGGAGCATTACCTCATGGGTCGGCAGCGCTTCGCACTGAGCTGTCTGAAATATTTTGGCTGGGCAGGGAGGGAAATTTTTCACTCTTAATGAGAGTGTCTGTGATGAGTGAACTTAGAAGGGCTGGTTTGCTAGACTGTGTGTGTAGGAGGCATGGAAGGGAATTATCAGAAGTCTTTTCCCCTTCCCCCAAACCTTTAATACAGCTTTGAAAGGTCACGGTAGGGAGACTGTATGGCCCATGGGACTGGGAGCCAGCTGATCTGGGCTCCCCTCCTGACACCGCTATCACTGTGTACTCTTAGGCAAATCACTGAGCTATTTTGTGCCTCTGTTTCCCCATCTGCAAAAATGAACTAGTAAAACTTGCCCTCTGCCTGCCGGTGAACAGCCTGCCTAATGAGCCAGGAAAGAAGAAGAGCGGTGAGTTGGCAACACTTACAGATGACCTCAAATAAAGTAGGTTCGTCAAGATCAGAGAAGACTGAAGAACCTTCAGAGGCTCGTTCACCTGCACATCTACCAGTGTGATATATGCCATCGTATGCCAGCAATGCCCCTCTGCCATGTACATTGGCCAAACTGGACAGTCTCTACGCAAAAGAATAAATGGACACACATCTGACATCAAGAATTATAACATTCAAAAACCAGTCAGAGAACAATTCAGTCTCTTTGGTCACTCGATTACAGACCTAAAAGTTGCAATTCTTCAACAAAAAACCTTCAAAAACAGAAACAGCAGAACTGAAATTAATCTGCAAACTGGACTCCATCAAATTAGACTTGAATAAAGACTGGGAGTGGATGAGTCATTTCACTAACTAAAAACTATTTTCCCATGCTAATTTTCCCCCTACTGTTACTCACACCTTCTTGTCAGCTGTTTGAAATGGGCTGTCCTGATTATCACTACAAACATTTTTTTTTTCTCCTGCTGATGATAGCCCACCTTAATTGATTGGTCTCGTTAAGAGTTGGTATGGCAACCCCCATTTTTTCATGGTGTGTGTGTATCTTCCTACTGTATTTTCCACTGAATGCATCCGATGAAGTGAGCTTTAGCCCACAAAAGCTGATGCTCAAATACATTTATTAGCCTCTAAGGTGCCACAAGTCCTCCTCATTCTTTCTGTGATTCTTTGGTTCCTGATACAACCTCACTGACATCAATGGACCCTTATAAATCACTTGCAGCTCTACATATGAAAAGTTTTAAGTTTAAATGTTATTTTATAGATCAAATTAGATGTTGGGGGCTTCTAACATTGCTCCATTAGCCCTTTGTGGTCTGAGTCCAGTGCTTGGCACAGGAAGGAAATAGATTATTTATAGTCCCGTTTAAAATATAACCTCTCCTAACAGAGGCCCCTCCTTGTACACCTGGCTCTCATCTGTTTTAGCTGATGCTTTTCTGGCACCACAAAGATGGGCACAGAGTTCCCAGCATTTCTTGGCGGCGCTGGGTCTCGGTCCTTGGATGCTTCCAGTTCTTTAGCATGAATCCAGCTCTGGGGTTCCATTATTCAAAGCTCTGATGGCTCGGACTGTCTACGCTCTGTCTGCGATGTGTGCGCAATGGGCCAAGCAGTGTTCTCCGTCTCACAGGTGTAACTCCATTGGACCAACCTACTGCACAGCCAGAGTGGTGTAACGGGGAGGAGAGCATAGCCCTGCGTCACGGGATTGCCTCCGCACTGAGCAGCACTTGTGGTCGTCGAGCCTCACAAAACAATTCTGTCATAATTAGCTCGTCAGGCAGAGCACAGGGTCACCATTAAAGGAAATTAATGAACTTCCAAATCCATGTCTTAAAAGTGTTTCTCATTATCTTCTCAGAATACAGCACAACATCTGCAGAATTGTAATGTCCAATTTCAGCAAGTGTGACTGGCAGCAAATATGAATTCGTTCAATTATCAAGGCAGGAATTAAGCGTATGTTTGACAAAAATAAAAGGCTACCAAGGAATTGGTAAGAGGGTTACATTAAATGCCATCCTGTACTGGGGGAGAGGGGACACAGCTTCAGCTTGGGAAAACACCCCGCAGTCTAAGTGACTGACAGGTAAAACGCACTTCCACAGTAACTCTTAGAGTCATCAGTTAGCTCTGTTCCCCACCCACCAGTGCAAACAGCCAAGAGGCAAATGCCCCTTTACAGTGTCCCGTCCCCTTTGCCATCTGCTAAACCCCACTCTTGGTTTGGTATCAGTGGGCAGCCCAGCCCCAGAGGCCCAAGGTCACTCAGACAGGCCGGTCTCTTGGGAAGTGCTACCTGGTCATAGCCTGAGACTCCACCACCTAACCCGTGGTTCAAGTTCAGGGCAACTGCATCTGCATTCCCCCTCAGTGGACCAGCCAGGACACCCAACTGCAGCCTTCCTGCTTCCCAGCCATTGCCTTTCTTGGGTGGAGATCCACGTCTCTCTCTCCCTCCTGATGGGGTATTTCCAGCCCGCCCAGTTTTCACTGTTTTTCCCAGCGGAGACGAGCCATCCAAACACACCAGCTTGCTTTCTCTTCAGAGATGGCTAGCACAGGGATTGTCAACCATTAGAAGTCCATGCAGCTCTCTCTGTGCAAGATTGCTGTATTCCTGGGGTGAAAAGCATTTCAGAGAAAACATTTAAAAAACAATAGAAGAAGCTACACCCATATGAATAAGCTTATCAGCACTCACCCTAACCCTGACATGGGCTCTGGCAGGAACAGTCCTTCAACACCCCACCCTCGGGGTTTCCTTGTGGTTACGAGTTCAAGCTTCATCTCAGAACAAGGACCCAGCCTTATGAGGCCTCAATAAAATAAGATTCATTTCTTGACTCACTCTGCTCAGGATGGTCGCAGAGAGGGGCTTAGGCCCTAAAGGTCTCAGCAGGATCCTGATAAGGATGCTCTTGTGGTTGGAGGGGGTTCTGGATTGCCTGTTGACTCTGGACCCATCCCGACCCAGAAAGTGTTTTGTAACAACTCCCTGCTCACCTCGCTGTCACTGTGCAACATGGCAGGGCTACCCCAAATGTTAGCATCAGGAGACATGGGACTCAGGTGAGGTCTGTTTGGGGACCTGGCAGCAGGCGGTCAGATCACTAGCTGATGTTCCCGTGAACGAAGGCAATTGGATTACATATACATGCCATATCCCAGTATTCAGACTGGGACAACCAGCCAGGTTTGGAGGGGGCTGGAACAGTGTTACTGGAACCATCATGGGTTGGGTTAGGCTTTACTAATGAGGGAGTCCCATTAGGATGTCCAGTTTCCCCCACAAAGGAAGTGGGACTTGATCCTGCAGGATGCCGACCACTCTGGCCTGGCCCAGCAAAGCGTCTAAGCAAGTACTTAACTGTAAGCACATGAATTAGTCCCATTGAGTTTTATGGGACTGCTTAAAATTAAGCATACGCTTAAGGGCTTTGCTGGATCATGCCCGTGTTCAGCACTTTGCCGCTTTGAGCCCCGGGGGCTGTGGGTGGCTAACAGTAACCACGGGTCAAAGGAATTCATGTTGTTAATAATAGTTGCAGCCAGAGGCCTTAACTCAGAGATGTAGGTGTCGTCGTAGCCTGCCGTGGAGTGGCACTCAGGGAACCAACTTCTTGAGGCCCTGTCCCAGGGCTACGTCTGACCCCAATTTGGCTGTGAAAGCCCTAGTTATATCACAGGGAACTGAGTGTTAAGCGTGTGCAGCAAACTGAGAATAAAGCCCTATTCGTAGTAAGGAGATTTTTAAAAGACAATTATTTGAACAAAGCTCATTCCTATAGAGTCTGGTCCATTCCCGTCCATAATTACTGCTTACAATCTGGCAAGCCATGTCGATAATAAAGGCCCTAAAAAGATGGAAGCAATTGTTATCCGCTGTGTGTGCAAATTCACTCCTTTCTCCAATGTCTTTATAGGGCTGGCATAGAAGACTTCATAGCTCTGGTGTTCAGGAGATAAGGAAGGCAGCAAATTAAAATCTTAGGAATTTCTTCTGGGAGTTTTCTAGGGCAGAAGCAGGTTTTAATTGAATTTTTACCTCCTTCTTTGCTATCATTTGTTGTTATTATTGTCAGTCCATTGTTGTTCTGAACTTCTTTAAACAAATACAAATTTGCCATTTGCTTTCAGTGTGTGTGGGGGAGAAAATCAAATGACTATTCTGGAGATGCCAAACAACAGAAGGTAAGCAGAGAAGACAAATTGTTAAAAATGAAACCGATTTGATATGCAATATTTTAGTTTGATGGATTAACCACCATATTTTGTCATATATCAAATGAAGTATGAAAGGCTGCTAACTATATTCTTAATTATTAAACACTTCCCCGGTGTTCTGTAGCTGGTCTGGGTTTAAAATTTTCAATTAAAGCCTTTAATTTTTGCTTTAATTCCACATTTAAAAAAAATCTTTAGTTCCAAATGTCTTGATTTATATAGATTTGATGTAGCATCAAAAGTTTACTCTGTTAATTGCAGTACATACAGAACTGCAGATGTCTTCCTTATTGATCTCTGAGCCTTTTCTTCTTGTCAGTCAAAGACAGAAGATTGCGTAGGCATGAATCACTCTGCAACCCACTCAGCAACAGGAGTACTGATCTTTAAGTGAACCACATCAAGACAGCGAGGTCTTGTGTGTAATTTAGACAAAAAAATTGGAACAAATCTTCATTTCTTTCAAATGTCACTCTAATTTTCTGCTTAGTGGGTGCACACAATCCACTCGTACGAAAAACCACATTCCAAACTCTTAAGAAGCAAACTAGTAGCTATATATTATTTTTAACAAAAAACATTTGTTTACCCAGCTTCCCCGTGAGAGATGAGATTTTTCAGATCAGCGGTTTCCAGCTTTGTTTCATCAATAACTTCTGCAGTTGATGTACGGGAAAATGTGGAGCAATAGACTGGTTCTTTGTTCATTCTCCTTTACTCGGTATTAGTCTTTTCTACCACTTGAAACCAGTGTAGGGACCTGATCTAGACCCGCTGAAGTCAATGGAAAGGCTCCCAGAGGACTTGCATTAAGAATCTCCATGGTGAACTCTGTTTACCTCCACTCATTAGCACTCCAAACACTAGAGCTGTTAAAGCCAGATGGAAAAGTACAGTCAGAGTTGACTTAACAGAGTAACAATCCACTCACATAAGGGACTAAATTATTTCCTGGGCAACTCCTCTGAATTCAGCTGGCATTACACGAAGAATGAATCCGGCCCAATTATACTGAAGCTGATTTGGAAGAAAGAAACCACCAGCTCTCTTCAGGAAAACAACCCAAACCAAAAAATGTCTCGGTAGATATCGGAACACCACCAGAGAGAGTTGTCTGCATTGATTCTCTCTGCTGACTTGCTCTATCGCCAAAGCTGATTTTCTTCCCAAAGTCTGAGTTATTTCCAAGCATTCCCATTCTCTCCTGGTGTTCACATTTGAATACTGCTGATGCACGTTGAGGAACAGTGACATGACTCGATAGTTCCCCTCAGCCAAATCGTTGAGAGACTGGGATATTTATTGTGCTGTAACAGAGGTGATTATATGGATAATGACTGTCTAGATTGAATTGCAGGGTACAAATAATCTTTTTATTAGCGTGACCTGCATTGCTACAATATAGCTAAAAAGCCTCATGTCTCTGATTCTAGAGTCCGACTGTCCCAGCAGCTGTGGGGCTAAAGAGCTCTGATGGAGCCTCAAGCCAAAATGGAAACACATTTGCCTCAACTCTTTAAGCGTTTGCAGTTAGCATGACCAGGCTGCGCAGGGACCCTGCACTGCAGCTTGGTCCTGACTGGTAGTACGGTACATGCCCCTCTTGTCTGGCAAACAGGGCCCAATCCTGCCAGGGGCTGAGCGCCCTCCATTCCGACCCCGGTCAGTGCAGGAAGAATGCAGTCCTTATGCTGATTGGATTTACTTTGCCAAACGCTGGCAGGGCAGAATATAAAACCCTGTGGCACCAAATCCCCAGCGGGCACGAACTGGTTCCCTCCATTGTAAACAATGCAGCGCTGCCAATTTACACCCCTTGAGGAGCTGGCCCGAGGTTGCCACAAATCTTGTCAGACGTTATACAGAAAACTGTGAATTTACACATTTAGCCTAAAACCATGCAGCAGTGACCTGTCGTATATCTGTACAGCCCCAGTGAGATGCACAGCACTTGACGGACGTGGATGCAGATGAAGCCCTGGGTCCTGAGAGCTTGCAGTCTAAGGCCCTGATCCGGCAAATGCTTATGTAAGCACGTGTGTGTGTGTGTGAGAGAGAGAGAGAGAGATTCAGATAACACAAGAACTAGGGATCACACAATAAAATTACTAGGCATCAGATTTAAAACAAACATAAGGAAGTACTACTTCACACAATGCACAGTTAGGCTGTGGAACTCATTGCCAGGGGATGTTGTGAAGGCCAAAACTATAATGGGGTTCAAAAAGCATTAGATAAGTTCATGGAGGATAGGTTCATCAATGGCTATTAGCCAAGATGATCAGGGATGCAACCCCATGCTGTGGGTGTCCCTAAGCTTCTGACTGCCAGAAGCTGGGAGTGGATGACAGGGGATGGATCACTTGCTAGTTGCCCCATTCTGTTCATTCCCTCTGAAACACCTGGCACTGGCCACTGTCGGAAGACAGGATACTGGGCTAGATGGGCCGTTGGTCTGACCCAGTGTGGCCGTTCTTATGTGTGTAAGTGTTTGCACCCTGATCCTGGCTCTTGAATGTGCACTCACCCTGGCCTGATCTCTATTTCGTTTTATCCCACGGCCCATTGCCCTAGTATTTGAGCACCCGTTCTGTATAATCAATAGCGAAACCCATAGTGGATCTCCTGGTGTCTCTGGCATTTTGCATTTTTGCTGTCAATCTGCCTGTCTGTTTCTTTTGTTGGTCTTGTTTTGGGTTTTAGATTTTATCAATTTTTGTCTAGTAAGGATTTAGAGGGAGGAGGTGTGTCGGGGTCTGTAGAGGGAGTGGCTATCAATATTGTGAGCATCGTTTTCATGGCAAACAGGCACTGGTGTAACTCTGGAATTAATTCCATTAACTTCAGTGAGATTCTTCTGGATTTTCACTGTGTAGCTGAAATCAGAGCCTGGCCCAAAGTCTGTGTTGACTGCACTGTAACATGTTTCCAGAACCCAGTCCAAAGAAAGCAGCAACTGCATATTCTTGCAATTTTCAAATAAAACCAGAAGCTCTTCGTATTGCTGTGTATCTACCCGTATGCCAAAGATGTACTAGACTGATAGCCTGGAAAGGCTCCGGCATTTGGACTGCTGATGTCCGAGGCACCTCGCTCTTGTTGTCCTAGCAAAAGCCTATGCTGTCATGGGCTCTTCACGGCTCCTGGGGAACAGGGGCAGGATGGCGTAGCCAATGCAGCAGGACTTGGAAGCCCCTCATTGTTCTTTGTGCTCTCCACCATCTCCAAGGAGCACTGGGCTGAAACGTGCCCACAGCTATGAGGCCAGAGAACACTGGAGCCTGTCCATGTCTCTCTGTACACTTGCTGTCAGAGCGTAATGGAGAGCAATGAAATTTTATTCTTCGCTGGTGACTGAAACTGGTGCCTTTGTTATGGTTCCAGCCTCTGAAGGGAAGAGAATCATAGAATATCAGGGTTGGAAGGGACCTCAGGAGGTCATCTAGTCCAACCCCCTGCTCAAAGCAGGACCAATCCCCAATTACATCATCCCAGCCAGGGCTTTGTCAAGCCTGACCTTAAAAACTTCTAAGGAAGGAGATTCCACCACCTCCCTAGGTAACGCATTCCAGTGTTTCAGCACCCTCCTAGTGGAAAAGTTTTTCCTAATATCCAACCTAAACCTCCCCCACTGCAACCTGAGACCATTATTCCTCATTGTGTCATCTGCTACCATGAGAACTGTCTAGATCCATCCTCTTTGGAACCCCCTTTCAAGTAGTTGAAAGCAGCTATCAAATCCCCCCTCATTCTTCTCTTCCGCAGACTAAATAATCCCAGTTCCCTCAGCCTCTCCTCATAACTCATGTGTTCCAGCCCCCTGATCATTTTTGTTGCCCTCCGCTGGATGCGTTCCAATTTTTCCACATCCTTCTTGTAGTGTGGGGCCCAAAACTGGACACAGTACTCCAGATGAGGCCTCACCAATGTCAAATAGAGGGGAACGATCACATCCCTCAATCTTCTGGCAATGCCCCTACTTATACATCCCAAAATGCCTTTAGCCTTCTTGGCAACAACGGCATACTGTTGACTCATATCCAGCTTCTCGTCCACTGTAACCCCTAGGTCCTTTTCTGCAGAACTGCTGCCTAGCCATTCGGTCCCTAGTCTGTAGCAGTGCATGGGATTCTTCCGTCCTAAGCTCAGGACTCTGCACTTGTCCTTGTTGAACCTCATCAGATTTCTTTTGGCCCAATCCTCCAATTTGTCTAGGTCCCTCTGTATCCTATCCCTACCCTTCAGCATACCTACCTCTCCTCCCAGTTTAGTGTCATCTGCAAACTTGCTGAGTGTGCAATCCACACCATCCTCCAGATCATTTATGAAGACATTGAACAAAACAAGTCCGAGGACCGACCCTTGGGGCGCTCCACTTGATACTGGCTGCCAACTAGACATGGAGCCATTGATCATTACCCGTTGAACCCAACAATCTAGCCAACACTCTACCCACCTTATAGTCTATTCATCCAGCTCATACTTCTTTAACTTGCTGGCAAGAATACTGTGGAAGACCGTGTCAAAAGCTTTGCTAATATCCAGGAACAACACATCCACTGCTTTCCCCTCATCCACAGAGCCAGTTATCTCGTCATAGAAGACAAATAGATTAGTTAGGCATGACTTGCCCTTGGTGAATCCATGCTGATTGTTCCTGATCACTTTCCTCTCCTTGAAATGCTTCAGAATAGATTCCTTGAGGACCTGCTCCATGATTTTTCCAGGGACTGTGGTGAGGCTGACTGGCCTGTAGTTCCCAGGATCCTCCTTCTTCCCTTTTTTAAAGATGGGCACTACATTAGCCTTTTTCGAGTCCTCCGGGACCTCCCCCGATCGCCATGAGTTTTCAAAGATAATGGCCAATGGCTCTGCAATCACATTCGCCAACTCCTTTAGCATTCTCAGATGCAGCGCATTCGGCCCCATGGACTTGTGCACGTCCAGCTTTTCGAAATGGTCCTGAAGCACTTCTTTCTCCACAGAGGGATGGTCGCCTCCTCCCCATGCTGTACTGCCCAGTGCAGCAGTCTGGGAGCTGACTTTGTTCGTGAAGACAGAGGCAAAAAAAGCATTGAGTACATTAGCTTTTTCCACATCCTCTGTCACTAGGTTGCCTCCCTCATTCAGTAAGGGGCCCACACTTTCCTTGACCTTCCTTGCTAACATACCTGAAGAAACCCTTCTTGTTACTCTTAACGTCTCTTGCTAGCTGCACCTCCAGGTGTGATTTGGCCTTCCTGATTTCACTCCTGCATGCCCGAGCAATATTTTTATACTCTTCCCTGGTCATTTGTCCAATCTTCCACTTCTTGTAAGCTTCTTTTTTGTGTTCAAGATCAGCAAGGATTTCACTGTTAAGCCAAGCTGGTTGCCTGCCATATTTACTATTCTTTCTACACATCAGGATGGTTTGTCCCTGTAACCTCAATAAGGATTGTTTAAAATACAGCCAGCTCTCCTGGACTCCTTTCCCCCTCATGTTATTCTCCCAGGGGATCCTGCCCGTCAGTTCCCTGAGGGAGTCAAAGTCTGCTTTTCTGAAGTCCAGGGTCCGTATTCTGCTGCTCTCCTCTCTTCCTTGTGTCAGGATCCTGAATTCGACCATCCCATGGTCACTGCCTCTCAGGTTCTCATCCACTTTTGCTTCCCCTACTAATTCTTCCCAGTGTGTGAGCAGTAGGTCAAGGAGAGCTCTGCCCCTAGTTGGTTCCTCCAGCACTTGCACCAGGAAATTGTCCCCTACACTTTCCAAAAACTTCCTGGATTGTCTGTGCACCGCTGTATTGCTCTCCCAGCAGATATCAGGGTGATTGAAGTCTCCCATAAGAACCAGAGCCTGTGATCTAGTAACTTCTGTTAGTTGCCAGAAGAAAGCCTCGTCCACCTCATCCCCCTGGTCTGGTGGTCTATAGTAGACTCCCACTACGACATCACCCTTGTTGCTCACACTTCTAAACTTAATCCAGAGACACTCAGGTTTTTCTGCAGTTTCATACCGGAGCTCTGAGCAGTCATACTGCTCTCTTACATACAATGCAACTCCCCCACCTTTTCTGCCCTGCCTGTCCTTCCTGAACAGTTTATATCCATCCATGACAGTGCTCCAGTC